AGGGTACTGATAGCACTTTCCAGAAGGCAGGGGAAAGAAATCAGGACTACATCCATGAGTTTCTTCCTAAATAGTAAAGTTACAAAGCAAATATTCCAGAAAACAATGCCTACTAATATAATATTTTTCTTCCCCTAATTGTGCTTAAACATATTATACACAACTGGATAACATTTGTTGATTAATTAGTATGTATCACTTGCCATTCTAAACACTTTAGACATATTATCTCATTTAAACTTTTATTATTTCTGTTTTATCAACAATGAAATTGAGTACTACATTATTTTTACTTTTTGTTGGAAAAAAACTTTTCACTAATAAAAAATAAGGTCATGAAATTGGATTGGTGAAAAGTGAAATTCATAGCATAGGTGCAGCTGGATGACCAAAACCACTTCTCAATAAAGGACATCTTTATTTCCACACCATGAAGAGCAAGGAATTGATCTTTATAATATACTGGGAAGAAATACAGAGGCCAAAAATAAAGGAACAAACCAGTAATAGCTTAACCCAAATTTTCACAAAGGTAGTGAAAGCAGAACACTGAAACTAAGGTTACTAGTTGGTTTCAGTCCTTAAATCAGGACACATTAATCTTTTATAAGTTTTAGGCTAAGGCAATGCATATCAAAAGTATCCATTTAAATACCAAATTGTGTATTTTTAAGATTATATCATGATTTTTACATGTTTTTCAGTTAACCTCATAAACATTTTATAAAATCTTTATTGAATGACTACCAATTAAATATAAACTTTGCTTTCATTTTCTAATACATCTTACTTGACCTTAAAAATACTACCAATGAATGCTGTGAGGCTTAAACATTATTCTTTCATAATAAACTAAAATAATACAGAACTATTATCTAAGTACCTCAGACCAGATTCTTAGATAAAGCCATATGGATTGGTTAATTGTCAATTTTACTTTATCCACAAAAATGGCAATTTTATATAGTTCAACCTAAAACAATAGTGAGAAATTGAGCAGGTAAAAGAAAATTCAACACCAAAGGAAAATAGTGCTTCATTCATTTCTTCATGCAACACTAACTCAACTGAAATGCCTCAATTAATATATTAAGCAATAACAGAACTTGCCTAAAATTTGATACCTGGCAGACATGACCATCAGAATTCAGAGTTGTCTCAGAGGAGTAGCAATTTCACAATAATAAACATTGTAGAAGCCAGCTTGATTCTTTCTTGATTTATTACAAATAAAACTGATTTTACTAGCTGGGCATGGTGGTATATACCTGTAACCCCAAACACTTGGGAGGCTGTGGTAAGAGGATGGTGAGTTCATGAGTTCAAGGCCAGCCTGGGCTACAAAGCAAGACCTTCTGGGGGGGGTGGGGGGGAGAAGGGTTTTTTGTGTTTTGTTTGTTTGCTTGATTTGCAATACTGGGGCTCTAACACAAGGCCTCACCTTCAGCCACTCCACCACCCCAATTTTTTTTTAATTTTTTTTTGTTGTTCATTTATTCCTATGTGCATACATTGTTTAGGTCATTTCTCCACTCTGCCCCCCTCCCCCCTCCTCTGTTCCAGGCAGGTCCTGTTCTGCCCTTATCACTGATTTTGTTGAAGAAAAGACATAAGCATAATAGGGAAGACAAAGCATTTTTGCTAGCTGAGTTTAAGGATAGTTATACAGAGAGATTCCTACTATTCTGATAGGGTTTTTCAAAATAGGGTCTCACAAACTATTTCCCCGGGCTGGCTTCAAACTTCGATCCTCCTGATCTCTGCCTCTTGAGTTCTTTATTTAAAAACTAAATCATCCTAAACCTCAAACCATACTAGGAAACTAAAAAATGTAGTTAATTTTTAGCTATGAATAAATATGTGCTAATAGTGAAAAATACTTGAAAATCAGCTACCAGGGAGACAAATATGTATGTGTGCAAATGAGTGTGTGTGTACAGTGAATTTTGCTAATATAAATGATCTATAACACACATTGTAAAAATAAAATATACAATACTCTAGTAAAAATTACATATAGCCAGTTAGTTCTAATAGATTGCTTTTGTTGATCTTTGACAAACTCTTCCATTAGTAACCATTTTATTGTTGAAACTGAAAAACAAGCATGGTTCCAACAGCCATGTTGATTAATGGTATCATGTATATTAGTAAGGCAAAAATGAAACAGTGAAAATGTTTCCCAGACTTCACTCATCTGTTAATAATGTGATTCCTTTGCTAACTTGGATAATAGGTTGATTACCAAGAAACCATTGTTGAATTTGGGGGGTTTATTCAATTGTAACAGCTACAGATTATACATGCTTTTAAGTTTAATCTACATTTTCCCCATCACTCTTTAAAATCTAGAGATAATTGAAGAAATAATAAGTCAAGCCCCTAGCATCTGCTGATTTTTCTTCTGTAAATATTACCATCATAGTGGATTTCAAGCTACCAATATGAAGTAACTGAGTGCAGAGCTGGGAAACACATTTTATATGGTATTACAAAATCAGACAGAATAGATGCAAATTACAAGAGTGTAGATTATAGTGAAATGTCATAAAATAAGTAGGAAGCAGTGAATTTTGTATTGCCTTTGTTTTTAACGTAGTTATGTAATTGTATATTTATAATTTAATAGAAGCTGTAGGTTAAAAAACAGCTTGAAAAATCCCTTCTAGCAATTGGCTCTTGTGAGAAGAACTGCCTCTAGCATATCACTGAAAAATAAATAATTCTCTACTTTGAAGTATCTCCATAAAATTAGCTATTTATCATGCTTTTGCTAATGTAACTAAAGCTAGCAATGTCATTGGGTCTATTTTCTAGCCTGTTTTAGAAGACTGAGGTGACTTAAGTTTATCTAGATTTTTACATGAGGATATTAGAATCTAGCTCCATCAACAGTATACCTAACAATAGTTATATAATTCTTTATTTTAGTAGTTTATCCTAAGAACATCTCAAAGTTGCTCAAAATATTGATTAAACCCTAAGGTATAAAGGTAACGATGTAAACTTGCAAGTTAAGAACACCCCCTTTAGAAAGCCAAAAATTTGTCATCTGATAATTTAGAATAATGTACCTTGGAGGCACATGAAATTCATTGCTAGAGGATCTCTCAAAACCAAATCTTGCGTGTGATATTCAAAAGGAGTTAGGTAACACAAAAGCCAATAATAACATGTTTAAAAAGAACAAATCACATCCTATGCTTCAGGGTATAAGCTGATCCGTTGAAGACCCAGAAAAGAACTGCCTTCCCTTCCTATTTGCTTTCTGCCCAGCATATATAACATTTCACAACTGAAAAGGTAAATGATGGAGATAACATCAATTCTTTTGAAGTACAGAGATCTGTTGATAGGATGGAAGGCTAAATGATGCATGATATGAACTCATTAGTTGTATTCCATATCCAAACACTTTCTCCAAAAGCAAAAGACTTATCTGTTCCTAATTTCTACTCTGCTTACAGTTCATCATTCTGGTAGAAAGCATCCTGACTGCCACAGTCATTTCTTATTTCTTTGCAAATATAGCAACATTTGAAAACAGTTTATTTTCTTATTCTTATATTGCCACCAGCCCCAAGATTTAAAAAAAAGTCTCCCAACTCTTGAAATTTCATTTTATATGATAAAGATTATTACATAAGATACAAAGGAAGAACTTCAACTTTAATAGCCATAATTTTTAAAATATGGATTGTTTAAAATGAAATATTTGTAACATTAGTTACAACAAACTCTTACAACAAATTGTTAATCCTATAATCTTTCTCTCAAAAACACAATTAAAAAGAAAAAAATGGGAGGCACACAAAAGCTAAAACACTTTCTACCAGTAGAAATATTCCAGGTAACAGCAGAACCAAATTGTAATAGGAACATTCTATATTGGATTCTTTCTTCTGTAAATGTATTTTATAAAAAAGTACTTATATTCTAATTGTTTATAACCAGTTTTGATTTTAAAAACATAAAAGAGAAAGTTTGCTTATAGTAAGCTCTCTTCCAACCATCTTTTTAAATATTACATAAGAAAATTGCATTTCCAGAAACTGAGTGGCTGAATTGAAATTCAGTTTATACAATTCACTTAATTCACCTTTTGTGTGATAACGTGATCTTATGTTATTCTGAAAGTGTAGTTGAATGCAATGGATTAGAATCTTCTTACCTATTTATTTCTCTTAATACTAAAATAGATGAGAAGGGACATAAGTCTAGACCAGTTCTACCAACACAATGCTTATCAACTCTGCCCACCACACCTTCATTCCTTATACTTCATGGACACTGACTTCTTCTTTCCCATTTCACCCAATCATGAAATCTATCTAAAATAAGGAGAATGATAAGAAGATAGATACCTTACAGGAAACTTTGATAAATTCAATAAAGTGTAACTAGGAAATAGTGCCTGGCTTGTTGTTATATAATTGGGTTAATATCCCATCTTGAATAATTATTCTTCCATCTATCATTATCATTTATCAAAAGAGCAAATTGGCTTTTTTAGTAGTAAAAATATTGACTCTGACTTTGATGAAATGATTATTTATAGGTTGGACACCATCTCACATGCCAAACTCTTTGTGATATAAGATTTCAAGGCATTAGTCATATCATATTATATTCTCTTAATTCTGACAAATCATCATATTGAAGACATATTCCCTGAGGTATAACAATATTATCAACAAGATTGCTGAATTATCTTAAATATTCAGTTGTTTCATCATAAAGTTATTAGCAAACCATCCTCAATCAAAACAGACATATGGAACAACTGGATACATTTGCAACCTACAATAACAATGAAATCTCCCCAGCAAGACTGCAAACCTGCCCAATAGGATGAAAAAAAAAAGTCATGAAATGACTGTGGCATATGAACATGAGAAAAGAAATATAGAGAGGAAAAAAGATGAGAGAAGATGGAGTAAGAGAAGATGAACAAGAAAGACAGGTAAAAGAAAGCAGCAGCCAGCTGGCCTCTGCATTACCATTATCAGGGTTGGTAAACATCCTACTTGCACTGGAGACAGTCTTCCCAATGTCAGCCAGGGAACGAAGGTTGGATTTCTTGGTCTGATGCCGGTGTTTCCGGAGCAAAGTATAGGTCACCTTATCCTTCAGGTCCGGTTTCAATAGGCCCGTCTCAATCTGGTGGTCAACGATCATCTCTGATACAAAAATAAGGCAAAACAAAAACAAAAAACAAAGCTCAGTCACAAAACTATTTTCACTAAAGTTTCAGGGATGTCACTCTCAAACTCAATATTGTTATATTATTTTCCTAATCTCCAACTTCCCATTTTATGCAAAGGATAAAGATACAAAGTATAAGGAGACTGGTATTAATGACAGAGTGAAAGATATTCTAGTATCAATAGTTTTTCTAGAGAGGAAGAATTGTCTTGTTAATTTTTTTAATCCCAGTTATAGTGAATTCACATAAATCATATTCTTCTATGAATAATACAATAAATCAGTAACTTATGTTTTTCAATTTAAAAAGATTAATGGTCTAAAAAATTTGAAGAGAATATACAAAGTAATGAGATAGCTGACTTTTAAATCTATTTTCCCAAATTCTTCTATGATGTTACATTTTCTTCAAGAAAAACAATACGTTTTCCAATACTGGATCATGTGAAATAATTAACTCAGCAATTAATCAGAAAGATTAAACCATGAAATTATACCTTAGTCTTTCTAAAGAAGTTAGGCCTATTCCTCCTGATTTGATCTATTTAAAGCCTTGAAAAAATATTTCCATTGGCTATTTTCAAATATAACCTGACAAAAATTTTCCGTGAAATTCCAATGTCTTAGTCTTACTACAAAAATTAAAGTTTCTTTAGCTCAGTTTATAGTAGAGTTGTAACTTATAAAAGGTAACAGTTTCACTGAAATTGCTCTGTGGATATTTTGATGAATGACAAGTTTTTACTCTGATAGAAAATAAGAAACTCAGCCAGGTGTGGTGGCACATGTCTGTAATTCTACCCCCTAAGGAGACAGAGGTATGGGAATCGTGACTCAAGGCCAGCTAGGGCAAAGTTAGCAAGAGACCCTTTCTGGGAAACAAAATAAAAGCAGACCAGGGGCATAGTTCAAGTGGTAGAGAGCCTGCCTAGTAAATGCAAGCCCTAGTCCAACCTCCAGTATCACAAAAAACAAAAACAAACAAACAAAAAAACCTGTTTCTGACAAGTAATCATGTCACTAGTACAGCATAAATGTAGGCTGGTTCATCTACTCTAACAGCTACATGACAGGCCAACATTTATCACACCTAGAACAAGACTGAGGACACAGAATCTGTGTAAGATGTGCACTAGCAGGAAGCTACCTCACTGCACGCAAGTGTACCATTTGTTCCCACCACCGAACCAGAATAGGTCCTATACCTATCTCTTCTGGGACATGGATGCACTTAGCACACATTCACATTTTCTTCTTGGGTAAACTTCTCAGTATACAAATGTGTAAAAGAAAGCAAAAGTTATTCTTCTGCAAAAGTCTAATAAGCAAATGGATGGACAGTGGCAGGGTAACAGCAAATCCCAAGGATTCCTACCCTTTGTAAGGAAAAATTAGAGATATTGAAGGGTCTTTACCTGGTGACAACTACACTTCTCAGAAGTCCACCTTTACAGCAATTACTCACAGAACCGGCCTCACAGATAGCTAAAAACTGGAAATTTACACTGTGTATAATCAGCCAAGAAGTAGTAAATCCAGATTTCCCACCTTACACAGATGCTGTACATGTCACTTATCACTGGACCACTTGGTAGGGAGCCTAGGGAAGGCAGGAAGAATGTCTCCTATGAACATTTTGGTTTGAAAGTGGCCTTTAGTTCTCAGTATTTTTAACTACACAGACCCCACTCAGTAAAACTCTCAGAATGATCTCATAATTACAATTAAGCCTCTGTTCCACAGCAAAATAATTAAATGCCTACAGAACACAACCTTTCTACTTTCCGTTTAAGTCTGTTTCCACATGGAAAGTCCAATTTGCAGAACAACCACAAAAATAAACAAAGAGCTCCCACATATCACTGCAAGTGTTATCAAACTCCTACTCTAATTCAAGGGTTGTGGACTAAAGCATTTCTTATCTACTCTTCCTGGCAGGGTCTCTCTCTATTCTTGCCTTGCCTAGAAATCACAAACCAATCCATATGCATAACAGCCACCCCTCTGTTACTAAAGCCCAGAAATCACCAGTTAGAACAGGTTAAAACATCTGTGTGGCTTATGCCCTTCATTAAGTTTCCATAAAAATGGCCCACATTATAGGGATCTCTTTAAGGATAAACTACAAAATCTTTCAGAGGAAAGTGGGGGCAGTAACATTTTACGACTACTCTGAAATTAAGCCTTCACTGTTCAAAATTCCACAGACGCTACCAACTGGGAGAAAATGTGCCAACTACAGATGATAACAGAGCTGAAAGAAACCTCAGAGAGTGTCAAGTTCGACTCTTGTTACACAAATGAGAAAAGAGAGGGTTAGGAGTCCATAGCCCACAGGTATAGACTAATTAGAGGCAAAACCCCAAATAAAACCAGGTTTTCTGACTCACAATTTAAATTTTTCTCCATATCACACAATATTGTTCTTTACTTAAAAGTAAGAAAAGAAAGAATTCACACATGCAAAGTTTTTGCAAACCAAGAAAAGGATGACCATGCAAGGGAAAAATGGCCAAAGATTACAAGCATTCTTCTTATTGATTACAGAGGATCAATAACGTAACAATTCTTAACTCCAAGATTAACAAAGACAATTTAGGCAAAGGTATGTGAATATAAGCAATTACGACATTTTTAAATCCATCAAAGTAGTTTAAAATATAAAAAACAAATCAACCCCTTGTGGAATGAAGAATGTGTTCAACAGGCAATCCCGTGCACTGACAATGGCAATATTGACTAGTACAACATTTCTTGAAGGTCATTTGACAGACACATATCAAAAACCTTAAATATGTTTGAAGTTTTTGAATAGTCTACCATTAGTAATATATACTAATAAATATTATAAAAATATAACAAAGATAGGTACTTTTTTTTACATTAAAAACCTTGTCAACCTAAATGCCCAATAATAGATTATAGGGATATTTTGCAGCCTTTAAAATTATGTTAATACTTAAAATATTTTATGGCATGGAAAATATTGCTATTAGGTTTTTAGGGTTAAGAAAATGCAAATTAAATTGATATAGTATGATCCCACTTTGTAAAATAAGTTACACACGTGCAAAAAGAGTTTGCATAGAAAGAATGCTGAAAGGATAGCTCTGCAAGATTAGATTAGTGGATATTTTTTGTGGGTTATATTTTTCTGAACTATTTTTAAATGAACATATATTAATTTTAGCTTAGAAAAAAAAACAAAGAATGCCATTTGGAAAATACAAAAGGTGTAAAAAACAAGAAACAGGGCTCACATATCAGCCAACATGCATAGCTCAGGAATGCCTTTAAATACAAAAATGAGCTTCAAAAATAGAGCTACATTTTCCTCATCCATTTCTCATTGCAATAAAATACCTGAAATGGATTATAATTTCTTTTTTTACTTAGGAGGAGAAGAGAATTCCCATGAACTTGTCTTTGCATGTGAATGACACTCTTTAAATGTAGAATTACAATGATGATGCTAATAATAAACCTATTGAAATAATCCATGAAAAGTGATGCTTCATCCTTTATAATACTTTAGCAATATATTTTTCTATTAGCATGCAGAAGGGATTCTTGCCAGAAAAAAAAAAAGCACATGAAGGTCCTGAGAAGCATGAGAATTAGGCTGAATTTTTTATGTAAGCATGAGAAGAGGTATTGCTTAAACGGCCACCAACTGCTCCAGCCCCCATTTGGTTTATGGCCCTCTATGCCACTGTAGGTGGGATGCCTCTCAGAGGCAGCCAATGAGAACGGGTAGCAGGTAGACTTCAAAGACAGATGGAAATCATGCTACTGTTTGTTTGTTATAATCACTCTTGTTATTATTTCTTTTTCTCCCCATTTGGTGACAATAAAATTGGGGTGTGGAATTTGCAACTTAATACTGAGCAGTGCATAATTCTCAATTCAGAATTATCAGCATGATTCAGGACAAAGCAACTCTACTTCACCCTCTGCTCTTAATAACTAAATAATGAACTATAACTATTCAATTTGCTGTGTCATCTTCTAACATTTAAAATGAAATAAGGGCTTTTTATTTGCCATGTTTTATCCTCTGTAAGGTTTTGATTCGCTCAGAGGATTTATTATTTCTATTTAACCAATTACACTCTTTCAAGCAAGCTCTTCTCCCTACTCCTGTAAATCTGATATTTTTTCCCCCTCTCTTTGTTTTGCTCATGATGGGTGGTTTGCCTCTGAACTGTTTCTCTGTATTATCAGCACCAGAATGTCAGCAATGGCCCTCTGCCAGCTTGCCCTAGGGACTGTGGAGCAAACAGATTAGTGAATGATGATACCTCAAAGTGACCTAATGATGTCTAATTTTAACATTTGGTGGCAATTTTTAAGTAAATGCATGATAGTTAAAGAAAACGTTCACAGCAGATAATAAACATTAAAGAAAAATTAAAGGAAAAGCATCAAATGTTTGATTAACCTTTCTTAAATGTAGTAGATACCAGAGCTTCTCTTTGGTCATTGCCTAACAAGGTTCCAATTTTATGTGAGAATCTGCCTTCTACTATACACACAGGGTCAGTTAGTTGCTGAAGACCAGAAGCATCTTACGGCTGAAGATCCCAAAGATGGTTCTGCAGAAAAGCTCAAGTATATAATTTGGCATAATTTTCATCACCCTTGTTGATCAGTTCCAGGTACAGCAAAGAAGCTGTTCCATTGATCCAGCTGTGTCTACCACACCATTTGAAATCTTTTCTCCTGCTCATGAAGTCCCTGATCTTTCTACCTGACTCAATTGGTCTATACTTAGCCTTCTTCTAGGTGACATGTAGAAAGATCTGGATAAACTAATTATACTCAGATAAAATTATGAAACACATATATTTGATGATCTCATTTAATTTCCATAACAGCTCTGTAAAGTCCTCTTTCATTCTGTTTTTACAAGTGAAACCAAGACTCCAAAAGAGTTAAGTAACTTGTTTTGTCCATGGTAATCCACGCTAGCAAAGGAGGACTTTAATTAAAGCCCCCAAATTTAAACCCAGTATTCTTTCTGTGATACCACTCTGCATCTCATGAAATATATGCCCCTCCCAAGAAGTATGTGTATTTTTTATAGAGAACAAACCCTGGGCTCAGTTGAATCAATCTCTAAGGGGTGAAATTTCAGATAGAGAAATCCTACAAACCCTGGTGCTACAAGTGATTCTCAATACCAATGTGACTTGACTCAGTTACTAATCTTTAAGGTTCTTCTTCCCAGACCCACATGACTATTCTCTAAATATAGCTAAAAGGCTTGACATCCACCTACAGTCAGGCCCACCCCAAGAACTAAACTATTTCCCTTTGTACAAAAGATTTAAATTCTATTTTGAGGATGATGAAAGTGAGGTGCAGAGAAGCTCACTCCAATATCCAGGTTAAAAAGTTCTAGAAATCTAATGTCAGGACTTCTCTGATAGAGCCAAGGGTGGGAGGGTGAGAGGGCTCTATTCAAAATATTAATCTTATGCTAACAAATGAAGAAAATGAATATAAATCTGTACATATACAACATAAGCCTAATTGTACTGAAAATAATGTAAAAATTGAAAAGAAGAAAAGAGAAGATTAGAAAATAAATTTGGAAGGAAATTTTCAAAATGTTAATAGCTACGACCAGAAACAGGTAATTTGTATGATATCATTTTTAGCATTTGTCTGAATTTTCTAAATTTTCTGTAATGAACTACTCCCATTTAACAACATAAAGATAAATGTTAGCGAATGTGCAACTCTACCTACACTAGTCAACATCTGCATTAGAGGCATTAGAGGACATTCATGGATTTATAAAGTCAAAAAGTAACAGGAACCTAAAACAGCATACTTACCCACCAACTGTGGGAGAGAAGAAGCCTCCCGGTCCAGCATAATGGATCCTTTCTCCATACATGTCCTCAGCTCAAATAAGCTGTGTAGGGACAAGGTAGCCACGTGGGGCTTGCTCCATCTTTCTCCACCTTGTTCCACTTTTTCTTCAAACTTAATCCACCTAGGAATATGAGATTAGTGAGCAGCAATTAAAAGTAATCCAACCTCCCCTAGAAATAGAATGTCAACCCATGCATCCCTCCCCTTACCAGCACTTTCAAAATGTCTCCTTTTGTGGAGAAACACTCACCAGAGCACTCCTTTCCCTAAAGTTAGAGAGGTAAAAAGCAAACCAAAAGGAGCTAAAATACTTCTATTTTTATATCAGCCTATATGTAAGAATCAAATCTTTAAGAAGGATTAATTTTTATGAGGTAGAAAAAATGTGCTTCTCAAAATTCTCCCTGTGGATAGAGTCTACAACACAAAAAAATTTCTATCGCTGTGAGCATTCTGTTGTGACTTCACAAGGCAGGCTCAGGCAAGGTGAAATTCAAGTAATGAATCAATATTTACCACAAATATTTAGAAACATGATACATGCATAGGCAAAATGAATGCAAAGTTCCCATGTGTGATGCTTAAGGAAGGTGACCATGTTTGGTCATGTCTTTTAATACATAGTTCTCAGCTGACACAGGGTCCCCTCTCACTGAGATTCTAATAGCAGCAATACCCTGCAAGTCTAGTTCCACAAGTGTTTACAAATGTACAAGCTCGATGAACAACGCATCTATTTGGATTAACCTCAGCAATGAAACAAATGACTATCTCCCATGGCTTCTCATAGTCCATGATAAAAGCGAGAGCACACAAGGGAGGGGTGAGGATAGGTAAGACACCTAAAAAACTAGCTAGCATTTGTTGCCCTTAATGCAGAGAAACTAAAGCAGATACCTTAAAGCAACTGAGGCCAATAGGAAAAGGAGACCAGGAACTAGAGAAAAGGTTAGATTAAAAAGAATTAACCTAGAAGGTAACACCCACGCACAGGAAATCAATGTGAGTCAATGCCCTGTATAGCTATCCTTATCTCAACCAGCAAAACCCCTTGTTCCTTCCTATTATTGCTTATACTCTCTCTACAACAAAATTAGAGATAAGGGCAAAATAGTTTCTGCTGGGTATTGAGGGGGGGAGCGGGAGGGGGTGGAGTGGGTAGTAAGGGAGGGGGTGGGGTCAGGGGGGAGAAATAAACCAAGCCTTGTATGCACATATGAATAATAAAAGAAAAATGAAAAAATAAATAAATAAATAAATAAGACTCGTAGACATTCTGGCAAAAGAGCAATATACACAATTTTTAAAATACTTAATGAGATTAAAACATAAGACTTTGTATCCCATATATAGTATTACACAGTCTCTTACACTACAGAAGTAAACAGGAAAGCACCACCTTTTGCTATTCATCACCACCCAAATGAAAACACTTCTTTCACTTCAAACTTTCTTAAAGATATTGGGAAAGATAAGAGGGGGTTAAAAATTATTTTCCTACATTTTTCACCCAAAGGTTTAATGATTGAAAAATGTTTTCCTAGAAAAGCTAAACACTCACCTAGCTCACTAAAGATGAGAACAAAGGGCAGAGATCAGAGGAAGCTCTACAGAAGGTATTATTTATAGAACTCATACCAATCTTTGAGGAGCGGAGCAAATACATCAGTAGAACCAGAAGTGAAAATAGATCAAGAGATAAGCCACAATGTCAAAGAAAAATTTAATCAAGCCCAAACTCATATGATTCATAAATATGAACCATCCCCTCTATACTGTTCTCAGGAAGCCTCCCACAACCAGGAAACTCTCACCTATCTATGGTAACCTTAATCTCAACTTCACTCAATTCTAGACCCTCCTTTATTCCTGTATCACCCCATAAAAATGTAAACAGTAAAGATTTTTTAAATGTTTACCTCAAAAGTTAAAAAGTCAACAAAACTAACGAGTCTCAAACAACTAGACCTACTTTATTTCTACAAAAGTGGTTGAGATAAATTCCAAAAGAGAATGAAACACACCTAATATCTGTATGTGTGGAGTGTGTGTGTGTGTGTGTGTGTGTGTATCTGAATTAGTATTTTTTCACTTTGGTCAGAATTAGAGTCAGAGGAACAGAAGGAAGTTGGAGAAAATGACAAATTTATGCCACACACTTATACAATTCTATGGGTGTAACCAAAATAATAAAAGGCAATTAAGGTAACTAGAGTTATTTTGAGAATAATCATTTCAAGGAATACATTACATCGGTTAACTTTAGGCGTATCATCTTTTCCTGTTTGCTCACAGAATATTTAACCATGTCTGCTGACAATTATTATGTAAACCATTTTTATATCTGATGTTATAGTTTATTGTTCAAGACAAAAGTCTAGAAGATTCAATAGTATATGAAGCCAAGTCAGTGATACATAAAATTATGTCATCTATAAAAATATGGTGACTCCTTTTTTATTTCCGAGAATATTCTTGTTAGCTGAGAGATAGACCTTTGGTCACAGACTTTAAGCCCAACATGAAACACGGATTAACTAGAAATTCATTAAAGTGTAATATTTTATATAGCCCTCATTTCTGTACTATCTTTCCTAAATGAGTATTACTCTGTCAGATGCAATCAACTTGTATTGCTAAACTTATTCCTTAAAAGAAAACTAAACATTAGTTACATACAGTATGTGACAATGGGTCTTTTCTGCCATCATCCTTACTATGGTCTGGATGTTTGTGTCCCTAATATTCTTATGTTGAAATCTTAATGCTGAAGATGATTAATACAAGGAAGTGGGAACTACTGAAAGTGATTTGGCCATAAAGGTAGAGCCCTCATTATTGGGATTAGTGTCCTTACAGAAGAGGCCACAAATAGATAGCCCCTTTCACCAAAAGAGACAAAACTAGAAGGTGCCACTTATGAACAAGTGGCCCTCATCAAACAAATCCACAGTTACTTGATCTTGAACTTCCCAGCCTCCAAAACTGTAAGAAATAAATTTCTGTTGTCTATAAGATACCCAGTCTATGATACTGTGATTGCAGCCCAAATAGATTAACACAATCCTCAACTATCCAAATAATATAAGCTTAATAAAATGTTCATTAAAAAGAAGCAAAATCACTGAACTCCTTTGTGGTCTGTCCTTTGCTTATTCCTCCCCATAGTTTATATTGTAGGCAACCTGACTGGACTTAAAATACGAATTTGAACAAGTTTTAAAAGTACATTTAGAATCATAAATCCCAAACAGGCTGGACTTACTCACCATCCTAGATTGCACCAGCCCTTGATGTCAAGATTTAAGCATAAGAGAATGGAAATGAAGTCTCAAAATTAGCCAGTTGCTTAGTATCTATATTCCTAAGGGGGAGTATTATCTCATAGCTCCGTTTAGCATCCATTCCACTTTGAGTTCCGTGAATACTGGCAGTTGTGATGATGTCATGCAATACAACAGTTAACTGCATAATGGGAGCTCTGGGGCAATGCGTATTAAATTTCTTTAGAAGATACTGCTCTGGTTGTTCAGGGAATGATTATACTTTCAACATATGCGTTTAGGCATAAAATAATGAATTTCCCATTTAAAAATGCTTACAGATAGTTTCATTTGAGAAACTGTACACATCATGTCTATCCTCCTCACTTATCAAGGACAAACTTGAAAAACAAAATCACCACTATTCAACTCAAATCAGAACCCATTAAAGAGAAGGCTAAGGCAAAAGTACCAAAGTTCAGCCTATCCAAGTGCCAATGCATCTGCAAAGGTGCTTGAGAGCCATGTAATTACAGTTTTAAAAAAACAGACACTTTTATTGTAGAGTGTACTAAAAGCCACTATCTGCCCTTCATAATAACTATGAATAACCATATATTTGCAATAAGTTTATGACTTTTCCTCTTGTTTCAGTACTTGACATGTTACAGGAAAATTAATTTCAGAAGTTGGCTTTCTAAATGCTTGCAATTACAAAACTGTTGTACCCTTGGAGGAGCAGTTTATTAGGTGAAGTTTACTTATTTCAAGGTCTTAAAAGAATAACGATAAAGTACTCTGCAGTTTAACACACTCTGAGTGACTGCCAACTAAATAGCATTTCACTGTGTTGAAGAAACATAAGGCCCACTGGGAATCACTGAATTTTGCAACTTTCCAATCATATGATTAAATATAATTAAGAAAAACAAGACCTCTAACTTTAAAAACTGCCATGTTCACTGAGGAACATAGCCATGACCTTTGCCCTAGGATACAATCCAACTATGTAAAACTACTGAAATGATAAATTTATTGCTAATTAATAAGTGCCTCATCATACAAAAAAGAAGTCAATACCTAGCATACCCTGGGATAAATAATGTTTTCGAGGAGAATTCTTAAATTTCTAGATCAACTGTGAAATTTATTGCACATAATTACTGAGATAAAAGTACTTATAATTATATAGATGATTAAGGTCCTTGAGCTTTGTCCTGACAGAAACATAAACTTAGTCTCAATGGAATTTCCCAAAGTAATCCAGTAAAGAAAGAGAAGTCAGTGTGGATTGGGAAGACAGCAGTCTCGCTCAAAATTCAGTTTAAGTGTACATGTTTTGTGGCCAGTGACCTAAAATTAGGTGCTCCAGAGGTGAGGCAGGTCAGTCTGCCCACAGAAACACAAATAGATGTTCATGTTCAGTTGTGCTGTCCCATTGGACATGAAACATCAATGCCCTTTTCCTCTGTTGACTTGTGTTTGTTGAAACTTGTGATGACTTTCTTTTTTACCCAAGTTTGGCAGAACAGTTTGAATTATACTGCATGAGTGATCTTTAACATATATTTTTTAACAGTGGTGAAGTCCAGCATAGGTTGTGAAAGCCAATAATCATTTTTCCAAAGGTATTCCTAACTCAAAGATATAAAGAATCCAGGGAAGAAAAGAGGTCCCACCCTTGTTACTTTGGGCCATTAAAAAAGCTAGATCACAAATTACTCCTTTACCTGTTTGCTTCATAACGCATTAGCTGCATCAATTCCAAATGATTTCACTTTAATTACTGCTCTTTTTTTTTTTCTTTTTGGCAGCACTGGGGTTTGAACTCAGGTCTTATGCTTACTAGCAGGTGCTC